AGAAACTATTGTCAAAAGGTTTGGCATGAAAAATTCCAAGAGAGGTCTCATACCGATGAGACATGAGATATCGCTTTCTAAGAGTATGTCCCCAAAGACTCCAGAAGAAAGGGTGAACATGGATATGATACCTAATGCCTCAGCGATAGGGTCTATCATATATTTCATGCTATGTACTAGGCCTGATATAGTGTATGCTCTGAGTGTCACGAGCAGGTATAAGGAGGATCCAGGCTTGGAACACTAAAAAGTAGTAAAGTATATCCTTAAGTACTTGAGAAGGACTAAGGATTTTTATCTAGTATATGGAGGTAGTAGCCTCAGGGTTGAAAGCTACACGGACTCAAGTTTTCAGTCTGATGTCGATGATAGCAAGTCGAATTCAGGGTATGTGTACACCTTGAATGGAGGAGCAGTGTGCTGGAAGAGTTCCAAGTAAGATAATATTGCTAACTCGACCACAGAGGCAGAGTACATTGCTACAGCAGATGCAGCAAAGGAGGGAGTCTGGGTGAAGAAGTTTATCACAGATCTGGGAGTCGTGCCGGGTAGCGATGGGTTGATTTTCTTATATTGCGACAATAATGGGGCGATTGCTCAAGCGAAGGAACCCAGGTCTCATCAGAAATCTAAGCATATTCTAAGGAGGTTCCACTTGCTCAGAGATATCGTAACTCGAGGAGATGTAGCAGTGGAAAGAGTTCTATCCGAAGATAACATTGCAGATTCATTGACAAAATCGTTGTCTCATATTGTCTTTAAGCGTCACAAGGGTCTGATAGGGATCAGATACATAGGTGATTAGCTTTAGGTCAAGTGAGAGATTGCTAGTCATAGGTGCCCAACAAGCCAATAATGTGAGTGATGGCACGTGTGACTTGACACAAAATCTTTTTGCTTATTATATTTTGGCATTTATCACTTTATATTAACTATTGCATATATGCATGTATATATTGTGATGTCCTTGGATCTGTGCAATGGGAATCGGATCGTGATGAGATCATGATAATGAGATCAATTCACCTTTAAACACTGATCCTAAATAATCTCGGTCATATGTTACTCGAGAGGGACATCGTGATAACCGGACAAACTAGTGTGTTGTATACCCGTCCATATGATGGATACAACTGGTCTCATAGCTGCTCGTGTGGGGACACTAGGGATACAGTACAGGTGTTCATTGGAGAATGAGTTCACTGATTGATCCGCTTATGGAATGTTGGATGGTTGATGATGCCTTATTGTCAGACAGCGATTTCGTAGTCCTAGTGGTGTATCTAGTCCTTAGACTTGAGACACCAAGGATGTTATGTATGAGTATTCCACTCTTTGATACCAGACTTATAGGTTTGGATGTCCCAGATCTAGTACAACTGGTCATTAGGAGTGGCAGTCGACCTTACGAGGGCTATTGAGTGTCGATAGAGGATCATCCACTCTCGGCATCATGAGAGGAATATCTCATGTGTTTTTGCTCAGACAAATCCTTGGCTAGGGTCATTCGGATTGAGAGAGAAAGAGTTCTTCGGGAGAATCCGATTAGAGCAAGACTCGAGTAGAAACCGTATGGGTCTGACAGCACCATGCCCGATATACGATCTCTAGGATATTAGATGGATGAGGGACTATAGGTATACGGTAACTGAGGACAGACAGGCCCAATGAATTGGATTCCCCTGTATCGTTTGGGAACTACGGCGTAGTGGCCTAGTACATCCGTAGTCGATGAGTCGAGTGAATTATTATAGAGATAATAATTCACTAATTTAGAAGGAGTTCTGACAGGTATGACTCACAGCCAGCTCGATATTGAACCTAGAGGGTCACACACATATAGTAGACATTGCGATGAGTAGATGCTCGAATATTAGATATCCTCCATAGCCCCTATCTTATTGAATATCCAATAAGCCCCTAAATTATTGGATCCTATGGACGAGATCCAATAAGAGCCCATAAGAGATTATTGGATAGAGATCCACTAATCTAAAAGGCTTGGGTAATTGGATGCAGATCCAAAACCCACTAGGGGAGGATCCATTAGGGTTTGATAGGGAACCTCTATAAATAGGAGGGATTCAGTGGTTCATAGGCTAGAGTCTTTGCTTGTCTCTCCTATTCTTCTCCTCCTCTCCACCTTAGAGTAGGTCTGGAGTTTTGAGGAGCGTCGTTGCAGCCCTACTGTGTGGATCACCGCTAGAGAGGAGGACGCTTGACCTCCTTCACCTTCTCCTAGAGATATGCAAGGAAATAGGGATATACGATATCCCTAGGTAACACAATCTATTCTATACGCAGTTTGTTTCGCAGATTTTTACGCACCAATCTTCGCACAATGGCGAACATCTTTTTAGGAAATAGGGGATTTTGTTTTCTTATTCTTCCGTTGCGCATGTGATGTCGCCCCAAGATTTCCCAACAAGAAGGCCCTTCGGTATTAACTTTCCGTCGATGATGTAGTACCAGGCTTGAGTTCGCCTTAACCGTCTCGCAGCCACCGAGTCGTCGGGCTCCTCTCCACCTGCTTTGTATCGGAGGATCTCCTCCATCTAACTCGGTGATGAATTTGTTTCGGCGACCTCGTGAGTTGTCACCGTCGGTGTTGCTATGAACTCAATCGTTGGGGTCGACCCCGGGCTGCGGGTGGAGGCTGATCTGGCCAGCACATCTACCCGCACGTTTTGCGCTCAAGGTATTTTGGTGATTGAAAGGCGGTTGAAATGGTGGGCGAGTCGCTTTGCCTCCATCAGGTATGCCACCATCGTCGGGTCCCGAGCTTCGTAGCTCCCATTGACGTGTCCTGTCACCAACTGGGAGTCGCTGAAGACTTCATGGTTATCTACATGCATCTCCAGAGTGAGGCATAGGTCGTGGAGCAGCGCCTCGTACTCGGCCTCATTGTTAGTGGCTCGGAATTGCAATTGGAGTGACCTCTCGTAGATTTCTCCCGACGGGCCTTTGAGGATAAGCATGACCCCGGTCGCTTCAGAAGTGGACGAACCATCTACATGTAGCATCCACATGTTCTTATTGTTCTCCCGCCCCATAGCATGGTCCTCAAGGGTTAGCTCGGAAATGAAATCAGCTAGTGCTTGAGCTTTGATGGCGGTCCTGGGGAAGTACTGAATGTCAAATTCACTAAGCTCTACCGACCATCGCAGTATACGACCTGATGCATCAAAGTTGGAGAGGATCTATCGTAGTGGTTGGTCGGTGATTACTTTGATCGTATGGGCTTGGAAGTAGGGCCATAACTTTCGGGCTATCTTGATAAGAGCGAGAGCTAGCTTCTCGATCAGGGAGTACCGCGCCTCGGGTCCCCCGAGGATATGGCTGACATAATGTATGGGTAGCTATGCTGGTGGTATCTCCCGAACTAACACTGAGCTGATGGCTTGTGCTGAGGCCGCCAAGTAGAGACAGAGGGTTTCGCCCGGCTCGAGCGAGGCGAGTCGAGGCAAGCGGGCGAGGCACGCCTTCAACTTTTCGAAGGCTTCCTCGCACTCCGAGGTCCATGTAAAGTTGTCGGCCCGTCGCAGAGCCCGGAAGAAGGGGAGGCACTTGTCGACTGAACGTAACACGAACCTGCTGAGCGCTGCCAACCTCCCGGCAAGTCGCTGCACCTCTTTGACCGAGCGGGGGGAATGCATCTCGGTAATGGCTCGTACCTTTTCTGGGTTGATGCCTATCCCTCGCTGGTGAATGACAAAGCTGAGGAACCTCCCCGAGCTGACTCTGAAGATGCACTTCACAGGGTTCAGACACATGTTGAACCGCCTAAGCGTTTGGAATGTTTTCGCCAGGTCGGCCAGGTGTGTTCTTGCGACCTTGCTCTTTACAATCATGTTGTCTACGTACACCTCCATATTCCTCCTGAGCTGGTGCTTGAAAAGTTTGTCGACCATCCTTTGGTAAGTTGCCCCAGCGTTCTTTAGGCCGAAGGGTATCACTTTGTAACAATACGCCCCTCGGTTGGTGACGAAGGCAGTGTCTTCTTGGTCTTGGGTTGCCATCCGGATTTGGTTGTAGCCCGAGAATGCATCCATGAACAAAAGGCGTTCATGGCCCGCGATGGCGTCGACTAACTGGTCTATCCTGGGGAGTGGATAGCAGTCCTTAGGGCATGCCCGGTTGAGATCGGTATAATCAATACACATCCTCCAACTTCCATTAGGTTTTTTAACGAGGACTACATTCGACAGCCACCGGGGGTATTTAACCTCAGTAATGAATCTAGCCTTTATAAGGCGATCGACCTCGTCCCCGATCGCCTTCTGTCGGTCGGGGGCGAACCTCCTTGGCCTTTGTCTCACCGGGCGTGCCTCGGGGTCGAGCCACTTCTGGGTCGATCCCGGGCATCTCCTCGGGGGACCATGCGAACATGTCGGCGCTCTTCCTCAGGAAATCGATGAGGTGGAGCTGGTCCGCTTCTGGGAGAGTGGCTCCGACCTTGATGGTCCGGTCGGGTCAGCTCCTCTTCAGGGGTACCTCGATGAGTGGCTCGGGAGGCTCCAGCAGCACTTGCGGTACGGGTTCTTCACGGGGATCGGGAATCGGAGTTGGGCGCGGCTTTCCTAGGAGAGTAACCGCGGCGAGGTAGCATCGCCTTGACTCCCCTGGGTCACTTCGGGCCTCCCCAATCCCTACCGAGGTCGAAAACTTGATGGTCCTATGGTAGGTGGAAACCACCGCCTTTATCTTGTTGAGCGTTGGGCGGCCAAGGATGACATTGTAGGCTGAGGGCAGATCGACTACCATGAAGGTGGTCATTATCGTCATCGCCCTAAGCTCCTCCCCAGTGGTGACGAGGAGGACTGTTGTCTCGAGCGGGGAGATGGAATCCCCTGTGAATCCTGTGAGGGTTGATGTCATAGGGGTAAGGTCTCCCTTGATCAAGCTGAGTTTCTAAAAGGCGTCAAAGTAAAGAACATCGGCGGAGCTCCCGATGTCAACCATCACCCTCTTAACTTGGGCGTTGGCGATCTGGATGGAGATCACCAGAGCGTCGTCATGGTGGGAGCGCTCGGCCTCCCCGGCCCCGAAGGAAATTTTAGGCTTAAGCTCGAGCCGGGGACGTTTCTCGACCGTGCTACGGGCGTAGGCCTTTCTCGCCGCAGAGCTGCTGCCGCTGGTCCCCCAGAGATGATGTCGATTTGTCTCTCAACGAGTCCCTTGGGGTGTGGAGTCGCCTTTGGGAATTTGAGGTAGCGTCCGAGGTGACCTCTTTGGATTAGCACCTCTATTTGATTCTGGATGTCATGGCAGTCCTCTGTGTCATGATCGTAGTCCTGATGGAACCTGTAATATTTAGACCGATCTTTGTAAGTAGCCTTCATAGGATGAGGTTGTTGCAAGAGACCCGTCTCCATGATTTGGAGAAAGATCTCAGTGCGGGATGTATTTAGGGGGAGAGGCGAGGGCCTCGGGAGCGGTAGCTCTTGTCGACCAAGCTCGCAGCGGGGTGTCACCGGGGCTGCTAAGGTTGTTCCCCGGGACAATTCCGCCCTTGGCCTCTTGCCTTCCACACGCCTCGCTGCCACCAGCGCCTCGGCGGTGACGTACTGGTTGGTGCATTGGAGCATTTCGAAGATGGTCGCTGGCGGCTTCTTGATCAGCGACCGGAAGAACCTCGAAGGCTTCAAACCCATTAGAAAGGCCTGCAAGATTAGAGAGGGGTGAGCGTCTAGAAACCCCTGGATCTCGATGGCAAAACGTGCCACGAATTGAGAGAGCGACTCGTCTTTGCGCTGGGATAGCGCGAGCAGGGTGATCATGGAAGGCTTAGGTCGCGCGTTGGCGAGGAAGTTTTGCTCAAACTCCCCGGCAAGTTGGTCGAAGGATGAGATTGAGGATTGGCGTAGCCGGCTGAACCATGTTCGTGTCGGCCCCCTTAGAGTGGTTGGAAATGCTCGGCACATCAATGCATCGGAGGTGCCATAGAGGGCCATCTGGGCTCGGAATGCAGAGATGTGCTCCGTGGGATCGGAGCCATCGTCGTATGTCTCCAATGTCGGCAGCCTGAAATTGAGGGGTATTGGCTTGTCCTGTACTTCCTGAGTGAAAGGGGACCCGCCCGAGCCACCTTCGCTGGACTTGCTCCGCGATTTTTGAAACTCGCGCTGGAACACGTCCAAGCGTTGGTTGACACGGGACAGTTGGGCCCTAAGTGAGTCGTCCACCGAGTCGGACGATATGGTGTCAGGCTCGAGATGAGGTAGCGTGGCTCGGTAGGGCGTGGGTATGTTCTACCCGGGAGGACCTCTTAGGTCTGTTGCTTGCTCTTGGGCTTCTCCGATCTCGACCTACTCCTGCGACATGGGCCCTCCTTTTAGCGGTCGGTTTACCGACCCGAACACCGTTTATGGTGGGACACATCTCTCCGACTCCGGGATGAATGGTAGCGCGTCCTCGTGTACTGGATGGCAATTCCCGGGTTGAGGTGCTCGCCGTTTGGGGTGTCCGCTTTCCCTACAAAATGGCTTTCGTCGGGTGTTTCCCGACTTTGAACCCTCCGACGAGCAAGTCAGTGGAATATTTTTATATCAAGTTTTTTCCTCCCTTCTGGCCAAAGGTCGGCCAATGGTTTATATACTATTATGCGAGGATTGGTTGTACCTCGATTCGGTGTGGTCGCTGATCTTTGTGGGATGGGATGACTTTTCTGACGAGCTGGCGTCTTGAGAAATGCCTGAGCGACGTCAGACGATACCGCCCTAAGCCCTCGGGATAGTAATGTCACATAGTATTTCGGTACGGAACCTGGCTTGACGTGTGTCACGGGGTTCTGATGGCGTGCGATGTCAGATTCTGACATTGGTTGGAATGTGGCGTGTGACGACGGTGATCACTCGTATGGAGACCAAACTATGCCTTGTCACGATCATAAGATTGTGATAAACAAGTCATTAATCTGCTTTTAATTTCAAACAACGTGAGCAGAAATAGTACATACAGATGCTTGATTTCTCACTCACATTCAACGAATCATGTGGCGCAACATCATCCAGAGAGAAGGATACGAGAGAAGCGACCAATCGCTCGATCAAAAACCGACGGCTAATCTCACCTTGATCAGAGGAAGAGGTGGAGAGGCGGAGCTGGGCAGCGGGATCCGCTTCTGGAAAAGGACACAACAGGAGACGGCGAACGGCGAGGCCGCACAAAAAGGGTTTGGGTCGGGGTATCGACAAGTGCCGACGGTTTCGCTTATTGTAATCACAGAGAGCTTTATGATTCGCGCATTGATTCAACGAGTGATCAACGGTCGTGGGATTGATCTCCACCGGCGGGATTCAATCTTTTGTTTTATGCATATGGCAGTATCAACGGCAGCGAATCACCAAGAGCTTAGTCGGTTAACATTAGAGCAAACAGGTGATGATAAGGCTTGAATTGCACACATTAAGGTAGTACAATAATTGCAGCAACCTCATCAACCCACTTGATAATGCATCTTCACATATTGTAGAGATCACATCGAAGACGATCCGAAACAAGAACTACATTAACATATTTAGCACAAGAGATACACAGTTTGTTAGCAGAACAATGTCAGTAGAGACTTCATCAAACAGAAGGTGATCGTCATCTTATGATCATTTACTCTAGGCGTATAGGAAACCGGATGAGAGGGCCATCAAGAGGACCGCGGCCTGCTCCTCTTCCCCAAGCACGCCTCTCCGCCGCCGCCGCCTCTGCTTCCGATCCATGGAAGTCGGCTTGCACAACCCCGATCCCAACATCAGAAGCTTGAAGGACACACCGAACGCCTCCCCTCCGCCGTCGACCTCCCTCTTCTCCTTCGCTCCGGCATCCTCGAACCTCGGCACGGCTCTCCTGCTCTTTCGGTACCGGATCCCGCACGCGTTACAAAGCGACTGCCATCACGGATCGCAAAGCCAAACAAATTAGATCGAGAAAGAGACGAACGAACCGGCAGGCCGTAGATCGATCTCTGCACACCTTGGGACCAGAAGGGCCGGCTCTCCAAAGAGGGGTCTTGGTGGTTCGGCAACCAGTGCAGCTCTTAAGCTGGGAGTCGCTGCTGCTTGGATCAGAACCTCCCGAAGACTGCAGATAAGGCCCATGGATCAGCAAGCAAGTTGCGACAACGAAGGAAAGAAGCAATGGTAAGCTCACCATCGGATCAGGCCATAATTGCCTCCTATCACACTCCATCTGCTCCATTGCTGCGAGAACCAGATCTGATCCGCCTTTCTGGCAAACAGAAGTAGCGGATCACAAAGATCGGGAGCTCCGATTTCGTATCTGATATCTGTGTGTTTATATACGATCTCTCGGGAGTGGAGGGAGGGAAGGGAAGTGGAGGGAAGCAGGAAACCGTGGAGGGAAAGGGGGAAAACAAGAGGAATATTTGGGGCATGAGATCATGGCAAGCAAAAGAAATCTGCTGGCTTCAATTCCCCGTGTGGGTCACGAGCCCGAGGACGGCTAGCGGAACCGACGCGTCGCGTCAGACACCGCGGGAAACGTTTCCTACGACGTGGCTTTAACTCATTCGCCATCGACGTGGGAATCCGCTTAAACCGCGGCCGTGGGCCGTCGGAGCGGGTTCGCTGTTCGAGATCCGGTAGCTGATCTCGCGCGGTGCCACCGCCATCATAGCCTGCTGCGGTGTGGCGGCGGAAACCCTAGAGACGACAGACGATGATGTGACCAAAATGCCCACGAGTAAAGGTGAGATCAGACGGTGAGGGAAAAAAAGCGAAACTTATTCATTGATTTGTGTTAATAATATAATACAGATTAATTAAAACTAGAAAATATGTTGCTTAATGCCTATGGAATGAACATCTAATAAAATTGGTAAGATGAATTCATCTTCTTGATCGATTCAAAAAATATATCTCTTGATTTATTATATTTTATATAATACATTGACAATTTTCAACAGATTGTCTCATCCAATGATATTTGCCAATAAATGAAACGAAATGAATAAAAATAGTAATATATTATTATTATTATTATTATTATTATTATTATTATTATTATTATTATTATTATTATTATTATTATTATTATTATTATTATTATTATTATTATTATTATTATTATTATAAGTCTTGAGCTTAAATTCATCTTCATAGGGCATGTGTAGTTCAAAAGCTTAACCCTAACTCTTTAGAGAAATAAAATCCCTTTAGAAGGACAAAAAGGAGCAAGTAAAAAGGGATTTTTATGGATTCTCATTTTTAATTGGTTCGATTCGATTTAAATGATCGAACACTTAAATCCTAGTGAAAATAAAAAATATATAATCTATTATATTTAGTAAATTTTCATTACAAGACATTGATGATTTAATTTATATTATGTAGAGTATCAAATCGAATTAGAACCGAATCATATGATTAGTAATTCTCTTGTTTGCTCCGATTAATCAGTTTGAATCAAATCAAATTTATTTTAATTTAAAAAAACATCAATCTGAATCAGTTTATTGTTTTAACTCATTCAAATCGATTGATAAAATTGACTTAACGACGTGTGTCTAATTTCATAAATCTTATAGTACTAATTCAATCGGACCAAAATTTTGATTCAATTCAATTATAATTCATTATATATTTATATATATAATAGATTAATCAATAAGCATAATCGGTTTGATTTGATTCAATCCTCGACGGTTTAATTCGAATCCGATTCGAACATCCTTGATATCACCACTTTGATTTTTTTATACCTCGATAACATAATTCGTCGATTAGCTTCGTTAGTGAATAAAAGTATCGTGCCTGATGAGTCAGCACGGTAAGGTCCGTAGGTTTACATCGAGAGCTTCTTGCGAAGTGAGTAGAATGATGAGCCGCACCCTCGGGTGTTTGTTGGCGTTGATCGGGATCCAAGCCGACTCACTGTTCTCCCTTGTGCGATGGAAGGTATCTCTTGGGTCGAGACGCTCGTCGCTCGGGGTGTCCGCTTTCCTGCAAAATGGCCTTCGTCGAGTGTTTCCCGACTTTGGCCCCTCCGACGAGTAAGTCAGTGGAGTATTTTTATATCGAGTTCTTTTTTTTCCCTGATCGGGCGTCGGCCAAGAGTTTATATACTATTATGCAATGATTGGTTGTGCCTCGGTTTTGGTATGGTCATTGACCTTTGTGTGATGGGACGGCTTTTCTGATGAGTTGGCGTCTTAGGGGATGCCTGAACGACGTCAGACGGCACCGCCCCGAGCCCTCGGGATAATAGTGTCGCATAGTGTCTCGGTACGGAACCTGACTTAACGTGTGTCACGAGGTTCAAATGACGTGCGGTGCCGGATTCTGACACTGGTTGGGACGTGGCGTGTGACATCGTTGATGACTCATCTGGGGATCAAAATATGTCTTATGAGCTCCAAAATTATTTAAGAAATAAAGGAGAGCGTTCATTTTTCGATAGTTTAATTATCCATTTAATATGAGCATAAAAAGAAAAGAAAAAATAGAGAAGAATCCTTAAAGGCAACCGTAAGCTTTGTGTTCCAAAACTTGCTTGTCGTGGACAATGACAACTCCTCAAGACATACACCGTGCCGAAGAAGGCATTGCTTGCTCCATTCCAAAGGCAGCAGGGGAAGAAAAGAGTGCCTCGACAGCCGGTGCCGTTACATCCCCATCAGAAAAAATTGACCTTTTTGATTTGATGATCAATGCCTTAATCCATCGATAGGAATCTTATTCGTGCTAAATCCCAATCATTATTAGCTAGTTAATTAATCCACCGAGGAGGAACCAACGTTTGGTTAGATAGATGAAGCCATTGAGAAGACGCCATACGACGAGAAAGTTGGTGGGTCCAAATCCTAAAGCGATGAACGTTGCCGATGGGACCTATCATAGGGAGTGAATGGATGAACACGATAGAGAAGATGTGGTGCACAAATTTTACGTAATTATCATGGGAAAATACAAACTTATATTATTATTTTTTTTAATTTTAT